CATAACACAAAACTGCCTCGTACTAGCAGACTGGGAACGAGTTTGCGCAGACGATAATTCAAGACAGCGGTATCCTTAACCATCTCCAGCGTCATGTAAGAACTAACATAGTATTCGCACATCCATCGGAGACTCAGGGGCATGCGATATTTTCGGGCCAAAAATTTACATCAAGAACGGGAGAGCCACTCTTGAAGTAAAAGTTTCGCCCGAAAATATCGCATCGTGCCGACTAGCTGCCCCTGGGTCTCCGAGGATGCTCTTCTTCTGACCTGTTCTCCTTTCCATTATATTCTGTCTAAATGGAAATGGTCGAGGTGCAAACTGGAGTAAATCAAACAATATGAGGAGGCCGTCAAAATAGTGACAAAATCCACAAGTGCGAGAAAAAGAGAAGCACAAGTTACCTCAAATACTCTTTGACTTCAAGAAAAACTTGTGGTTTTTGCTTCCTTGTTAGAGTTGTAAACATTCCGCGCCTTACGACGTGGTTCCTCTTTATGTGATTTGATACACACATTTTTGTTTAATAGTATCATTGATATTTCAATAGATCTGAGATAACCAAGATATGAAATGAAGAGCTTAATTCGCTGTATGATGTGCTCAATAAAGACCACAGTTCTCCATGTATTTCATTCGCAATAACAGTGTGTGGCCTCACGGTTAGTGCCCTCGACTCCGGATCGAGTGGTTCGGGTTCGAGCCCTCACCAGGGACATTATATTGTGTTCTTGGGCAAGACACTTTACTCTCTCAGTGCCTCATTCCACCTAGTTGTATAAATAAGTACCGGTGAATTTAATGCTGGGGGATAACCCTGCGATGGACTAGCATCCCATGCAAGGAGGAGTAGAAATACTCCTAGCCGCTTCATTGTGTGCTAACCGGCTCACTTGGCTCGTATCAAGGTAAGATCAAAGTAAGTAAGTGAGAATAAAACCAAGGCCGGTGCCTTTCCAGACTCTTTTTCGCGCTTTAAACGGGCCCTTCCGTTCTTATCTTCTCACGACCTATGATTGGCTCGTTCAGGCATTCACCTGTGTGCCGTAACTTTAAGGAAGTTGAGTTAAATGAAGCTTTAACTAGGAAAAAGTTTTTATTGTCTTGAGTGTTTGATATATCCTCTCAATCGAAACAAAAACTAAGGAATAAACGCAGAGAAATAAAATTATAAAAATCCATGCTTATTAAGACCGGTTATCCAAACCTCCTTCAAGGTGGTGATTTTCTTTGTTTTAACTTGATGAATTATTAATGACTTTGAGAACATTAGGGATTGCTCCATTAACTGTTGTAGTCTGATACCGTTTGGTAAATCATTTTATAGTCAATAATTTGATAACGTATACTTCGGTCTCTATAACGGGCCTAGATGTTTCCTCGACCCTCGCTAAAACAAACACCTATTCAAACAGTCCGGGATCGTTATCAGATTTGATAACCTCGACCAAAACAAACCATTAACCAATCGCTGCACAAGTTTTCGTTCACGTGACATTATTTGGTAG